AAATTGGCAATAGCAACTGAACTTTTCGATTTAAGCGGGCAGGTTGCCCTGTTGACTGGCGCATCCAAAGGTATGGGGCAGGCAATGGCTACCGCGTTGGCCCAACACGGCAGTAAAGTGGTGGTGTCCAGTCGCAAACTGGATCAATGTGAGGAAACGGCTGCCCAGATTAATGAGCTTTGCGGCGAAGAACGTGCTATCGCTATCGCCTGCAACATTGGCTACAAAGACCAGCTGCAGAACCTGGTTGATGAAACCCGCAGTCGCCTTGGTCCCATTGATACGCTGGTTGCTAATGCAGGCGTCAACCCGTTTTACGGTTCGATGTCAGATATTCCAGACGAAGCATTTGACAAGATTATGGCCAGCAATGTGCGCTCGAATCACTGGCTCTGCCAGATGGTGGCGCCAGACATGCATGCCAAAGGGCGTGGTGCGATTATGATTACCTCAAGTACAGGCGCATTTTCCGGTTCAGAAGTGCTGGGCACGTATAATATTTCCAAGCTGGCTGATATTGCGCTGGTGCGTAACCTGGCCCTTGAGTGGGGGCCTAAAGGTGTACGCGTGAATGCCATCTGTCCTGGTCTTATAAAAACTGATTTTGCAAAAGCGCTGTGGGATAACCCTGAGGCGGTCGCCCGGGTGAATGAGCAAACGCCTCTGCGTCGCCTTGGAGAGAGCAGCGATTTTGAAGGTATTGCGGTTTTTCTGGCTTCCGATGCCAGCGCATATATAACAGGCCAGGCTTTGACCGTCTGTGGCGGCACTAATATGTATCGGTAGGTTCACCTGATAACGATTGCATTTTAGATGATCAAGTCGCTCCTGAGCTGGTTGCTGATGCTCGTGTTAGCAGCGGTCCTGGGTGTGTTTGGATTTCTTCGTTCAACGGTACCTGGTGATCCGGACACTCTGGTCGCAGCCGTTGGGCAACCAGTCCAGATCTATTACGATAAATTCAAGACACCCTTTGTGCGAGCGCAGTCCTGGCAGGATGCTTATCTTGCTCAAGGCTGGCTGCATGGCCATAACCGACTCTGGCAGATGGAGCTGTTCCGTCGTGCCGGAAAAGGGCGCTTAGCAGAAGTATTGGGTGCGGGTATGTTGGACACCGATGCCAATATGTTCCGTGCCGGCGTACCCCTGTTGGCGCAGCGGCTGGAAGACAATGCATCTGAAGACTTGCGCAGTTTTGTTGCTGCCTACGTTGCAGGTGTGAACCTTTCCATAGTGGGTGAAGACGCCACACCTTTGGCGCCCGAGTTTCGTCTGGCTGGCTTTAAGCCACAGCCGTGGCAGGTCTCAGACGTGTATGCCCTGGGCGCGTTGCTGGCATTTCAGTCAGGCAATAACTACCGAAACGAGTTACTGCGGTTTGCGCTGGTAAACCAGTTGAAAGACCGTCTCCCCGATGTATCTGGGGAGGTTTTCAATACCTGGACTAAAGTTCTGGGACCTGTGGATACTCAGTTACCGGATTTTCCGTACGTCTTTGATGAACAAGCTTTGCTGGGTTTACTGGCGCAAACTGATCATCTGGAGCCACAGTTGCAACCGTTGTTGTCAGCGCCGCGTTTGGGCAGCAATGGCTGGGTGATCAGCCCGGAGCGTACTGCTGAAGGATACGCTCTGTTTGCCTTTGATTCTCACGATGCGCTGTCAATGCCTAATCTGACTTACGACGTTCATCTGTTTGTCGGGCCGGAGCAGATCCGTGGCGCGTCTGTACCCGGTTTGCTGGGCGTTATTAACGGTTTTAATGAATTCATGGCCTGGGGGTTTACCAATACCGGCGATGCTCAGGATCTGTTTATTGAGCAGCGCAGTTCCGAGTCCGAGTTACATTTCATGGGCCCGCAGGGTGTTTATGTGGCGCAAACGTCTGAGGTGTTGATTCCGGTGAAAGATCAGTCGCCGCACCGGATAACAGTGGTGACCACGGCCAATGGTCGTCTGCTCAGCGAAGCCCCGCCGCTTGCGTTGCGGTGGTCTGCACTGGAGGTACCCAATGCCGGTCTTGACGCGTTGCTGGCGTTAAATCGCGCAACCAGTTATACATCGTTCACTGCCGCGCTGGATAGTTTCGTTGCGCCCAGTGCAAACACTACCTACGCGGATATCAACGGCAGAATTGCATTTCGTACCGTCGGCGCGTTGCCGATCCGTGGTACCGGTGAAGGGTTGCTGCCGATAGAGGGTGGCGTCGCAGAGCATGCCTGGCAGGGTATGATTCCCAGTAATGAACTGCCACGTATCAGCAATCCCGCCGCTGGTTTTGTTGCTGCGGCAAATGCGCGTATACAGCCAGGGCCGCCGCTGATATCCGCGGATAATTCGCCAGGTTATCGAATCGAGCGCATTCAGTCTGTGCTTAGGAATACCTCTGCAGCTACCTTTGCAGATATGCAGGCGCTCCAGGTGGATTGGTTTAATGTTCAGGCGCAGCGTCTGCTGCCGCTGTTATTGGACGCCGTCGACACAGCCACGCTCGATGCCCAGGCAAAGCTGAGCTATAAAACCCTCGAATCCTGGGCCCTGCAGCCGGAAAATCTGCCTGAATTATCTCAGCCGCTTCTGTTTGCCGCCTGGTACAGGCATCTTGGGTTGCAGATTTTTCCGCCGCTGCTTGGTGACGAGCTGACCCATCGGATGATGGACAGCGCCTACGTTTTTAATCATGCGTTAGATGGATTGTTAATGCGGTATGTCGACTCACCCTGGTGGCAGGGCAAACGTAGCGAGCTGATTACCCGCGCACTGATCCAGGCGCAGGAAGAGGTTGGCTCGAGACAAAACTGGCAGGATCAACACCAGGTGTTGATGCGCCATGAACTGTCAGGTGCCGTACCTGGACTCGGCGTGCTGCTGGATGACGGTCCTTTTCCCTGGGGTGGAGGCAACCCAACGGTCGGGCGTGCACGTTACAGTTATAACCGACCCTATACAGCAACCGGTGGTGCAACGGCGCGGCTGGTCATCGCGATGCAGCAACCCATGCAGGTGGAGAGCATCAGTCCAGGCGGGCAGTCTGGTCACTTTATGAGTGTGCATTATGATGATCAGACACCACTATGGCTGGCGGGCGAATTGAATCCACTGGCTTCACAGCCCGAACAACTGGGCGCACCGTCGACGACGCTCATCCCGCAAGAGGAGAACTGACATGACGCAGCAATGGATCGACCCGTATGCCGGTTTTGAGTACACACCTGAGACGATCTCAGTCAGCCGTGAACATCAGCATGCAAAGCTTAACGCCTGCGGTATTGATGCCGATGTATTTGCTGATGAGGTTGATCCTTCATTTTTCATAGGTCTGGCCATTCACGCGGGTATCAACAGCGGCATTACCGCCGAAGGCAACATCAATATGCTGCAGAGTCTGTTGCTTTATAGATCACCGAAGCTGGGTGAAGATCTGCACGTCAAGGGACTGATTCGTGAGGTCAAGCCGGTACCTCGCGGCCGTACGCTGCATTCAGAGGTGAGTTTCAGTGACGCCAGTGGGGAGATTGTGATTCAGGCCAATCGTGTGTCTCTGAAACCTGACCCGGAAAGTCAGGCCAGCCGTGGTGCTGGTGATAAACCAACACCGATTGTGACCGATGCAGGCGCGCTGCAGCGGGCAGGCACTTATCAGCTGACGCCGGACGGAGTGAAAGCCTACAGTTCGGAAGGCAACAGTATCCATTATGAAGAAGCCGCAGCCATCCGCGCCGGATTCCGGGCGCCACTGATTGGTGGGGGTATGGGGGTACATTTTCTGATGGCACATCTGTGGGCTTCGGGTGCGGAGCGTCGCCCAGCCTCATTCTCGGCGGATATTTATTTCAGACGGCCGATTTTCTGGGATGAGGCTGTGACTGTAGCCGTTGATCAGACTGCTGCGCCTGGCGTTATGGCGCTGCTCAAGCCCGACGGCAAGGTGGGTACAGAACTGGCTCTGCACCCACTTCATAAGCGGTAGATTTCAGACCGGCAGGCGCACCCTCGCGGTGCCGAATACGCGGGTTTCATCAGCCGCGTTTTTCAACGTCATGTCCAGTTCTACTAACCCTGTTTCTTCATCGATGTCGGTAACCACCGCGCCGATATGACAGGGTTCGTCGGCAATCATCGGTGCACGGAAAACCGTGTCGATGTGTTCTATAACCGCGTGTTCACTCCACTGGTGGATGGTTGAGGTGAGGAACCCCATCCCCATGATGCCAGGCACCAGAGCGCCCGGGAGGCCCTGCTCGCGTGCAGCGGCGTGGTCTTCAAAACGTGCGCCACCCCAGCCAACTGCGTGGGCAAACTTGCTCACTTCAGCCAGCGATGTGTCAGGTGTAAAAGTGGGTAGCTCAACACCGAACTCGACGTCGGCAATGGTATTGATACTCATCAGTTGCTGTTCTCCCTGATGACAAGACGAGAGTCTGTGGTGGCCAGGTGGGTGTTGTCCGCGTCGAAAAGTTCGAGCCGCACAACAATCAGAATCATGCGTCCGGAACGACCTTTTTTATCGTAAATATCGTGCAGGTGTGTGCGACCGGTCAGCGGCACGCCTGCTCGCACCGGGGCAAAACACTCAACCGCCTTGCCGCCGTCCATGGGGATACCGCCGAGTTTTGGAAAGTCGATAGGCAGGTGTCGGCCAGAGGCGAGGCTGCAGAGTACCGCCGGCGGTGCCTGAAAATCTGCATGGTCCGGATTCAGGTAAACCTCACGGGTTTCGCCTGAGGCACGCGCTGCGGTGACTATTTTTTCTGCATCCAGGACAAACTCTTTGCTGTCTATTTCCTGGTTCAGAAAATTCTCTTTCAGTTCTTCTATATCAACCATAACCCGTCCGCGACAAATTGCTGCGGGGATCATATATGCTGAGGGAATCTCTGATCAAATATCAATTGGTCAGAGATTCCCTATTTTTTAAGCGAAAGGAGAGAGTGATGGGACCATTAAACGGAGTGAAGGTGATTGAACTGCAGGGCATTGGCCCAGGACCTTTCTGCTGCATGATGCTGGCCGATATGGGCGCAGAAATTATCCGCGTTGATCGGGCCCAGGCAGTAGGCAGCGCAGCTAACGCAACGGACATTCTGGCCCGTGGTCGCAAGAGTATTGCCGTTGACCTGAAAAGTGCGGAAGGTGTTGAAACGGTTCTGAAGCTGATTGAAAGTGCGGATGTTCTGGTTGAAGGTTTTCGCCCCGGTGTCACAGAACGGCTGGGACTGGGACCTGATGTGGCGTTGGCACGCAACCCCAAGCTGGTTTACGGCCGCATGACCGGTTGGGGCCAGACGGGCACGATGGCGCCAGTCGCCGGACATGACATTAATTATATTTCGCTGTCGGGCGCGCTGCACGCGATTGGCGAACCGGGTGGTGCGCCGGTGCCTCCATTGAATCTGGTGGGTGACTTTGGCGGCGGCGGTATGCTGCTGGCTTTTGGTATCGCGGCTGCGCTCTTCGAAACTCAGAAGTCTGGTGCAGGGCAGGTCATCGACGCCGCCATGACAGATGGCTCGGCGTTGTTGATGAACGCGGTCTTCGGTTTGATGAACAGTGGCCGGTGGAGCCAGAACAGAGGAGAAAACCTGCTGGATGGTGGCGCACACTTCTATGGCACCTACCAGTGCGCGGATGGCAAATGGATATCTATTGGCTCCATTGAACCGCAGTTTTACCAGCTGTTACTTGAAAAAACCGGTCTCATCAATGACGCGAGTCTGCCGAAACAGATGGATCGTGAAAAATGGCCGTTGCTAAAAGAAAAGCTGGTGACGGTGTTTGCCAGCAAGTCACGGGATGCCTGGGATGAGATCATGCTCGGCACGGATATCTGTTATGCGCCGGTGCTGAATTTTGATGAAGCCACTGCGCATCCGCATAATGTCGCGCGACAGACCTTTGTCGAGTCGCATGGAGTGACCCAGGCAGCACCAGCGCCACGTTTTTCACGCACAGCGCCTGAGCTGCCGGGGCCCGGTGTCGCGCCGGGTAGCCACACTAACGAGATTCTGGCGGCGCTGGGAATGAGCGAGGCTGATATCAGTGCGCTACTTGCAAGTGGCGCAGTTGCCTAATGCTTACAACATCCATAAACCCTCCTGTTGCTGCCGCTATATGATTTGATCTGAAGAGACAAATACACGCAGTTCGTTGGGGGATGAGCTATGTTGAAGCGCTATGCAAGGGCGATTGTCGCCGTTGTGCTGTGCTGCTCGCCGGTGGCCTATGCCGGCGAAGTAGCCACATGGGTAGACAATAATGGGGTCACTCATTTTGGTAACCCGCAATTTGCACCGCCGGGTGAAGCCCAGGCAGTCGTCGTGAAGCCTGCAAACGGCATGGACGTTGTGGTGACCAATAATAATCGTCGTACCGGTTCGTCAGGGCCTAAAGTGTCGATCTTAGAGCGGACCCGGGTAGAGAATCCACGTGGATTTCGAGGTTACCAGGGTCGTGAGGCAGGTAGCCGCATTGGTCGTAGACGATACTAATGTCTATGGATTGTCCAGCTGCTGGTGCACATCGAAGTCGATCAGGGCTTTAGCACTCGCGTAATCAATCTCCGCGGCAACGGCACACGCAAGCACATCTTCGTATTCAGACTTCCAGCGCTGCTGACCATTGGGTTGAGTGACGCGTTTGACCCTCACCTCACCCAGGCGTGTCGTCAGCTTCAGCTCCTCGCGGGGCAACACCCGTTTTACGAAGGGTGTCATGCGCAGACCAATGGTGGTGGAGCTGTTTAGAAGGGTGTCTGCAATCTGGTCTTTGTCTGCTGCATGGCTTAAGGCGACCAGGACCTGCGCAGGTCGACCTTTTTTCATGAGAATCGGTTGCAGATAGACATCTACTGCGCCTGCTTTAAACAAGCTGTCGATCAACGGTGCAAACCCTTCCGGTGACATATCGTCAATATTGGCTTCAATTTTATAGTGCTGCGCACCCACACTGCTGGTGTCGCCGGCTGCTTCATACTCACCAAGCGCCACTCTTAATACGTTGGGTACTTCGAAGTCTTTGTGGCCGATGCCATAGCCAATTTTACGTGGCGTGAAAACACCTTTTGGTGAAAACTCGTTCACGCTGGCAGCCAGTATGGCTGCGCCGGTGGGCGTTGTTGATTCCCCACTGACCGTGCCGTAGGTACATGGCGCATTGGCCAGCAGCTCCTGGGTGGCAGGCGCCGGCACCGGGAAACGACCATGCGCGCAATTGACAAAACCACTGCCCACTTCGATTGGGTTGCACAACACCACATCGGGTTGGAAGTGCTCGATGCATATTGCTGCGGCGACAATATCGATAATGGAGTCAACTGCACCAACCTCATGAAAGTGCACTTTATCAGGCGTCACGTTATGAATCTTGCCTTCGGCGATTGCCAGCCCCTGAAAAATCGCCAGCGCGCGCTTTTCGATACCGGGTGCAAATTCTGCAGCCCGGACAATTTTAACAATGGTGCTGTGATGACGATGGTCGTGGGCATCCTGGGCGTTAACCTGGCAGCGGGTGCCGGCAATCCCCATTTTACTGGCGGGTGAGAGATCAAGCTGATATTCACTGGTGACCGGTAGTTTGGCCAGTTGCGTTCGCAGCCACTGTTCCGGTACCCCCAGGTCAACCAGTGCTGCCAGGTGCATATCACCTGACAGGCCACAACTGGGTTGATAGAAAAGCGCTGTCTGGCGATCAGGCAATATCGAAATAGTCCGCTGAAGTTGCGGCCGCGGTGAAGTTTTCACGCAGATGCAGCAGGCTCTGCATGTCTGCGTTTACAACATCCAGGCCGTGTTCCAGAACGTAGGCGTAGCTGCGTTGAAATTCAGAGAGTTTTGCTTCGAGCAGTTTGGGTTCGTAGAAATCGTTGAATGCATCTGGATTCCCCCAGCCCAGCCAGGCGCGTCCTGCGAGGAAACGTCCTGCTTTCATCCCAACCAGGCCAATACCTGCGTCGCGTGCTTTATCGAGCAACGGGCGGATGCCGGTCATTGGTGGCGTACCGTCCAGTACTGATTTGTCTTCCCAATCGTACCAACCGCCTGGCGTAATGGCGATCATGGCCAGATCAAACCAACCGGTGTCTGCGGCGGCAGACAGGACGTTAGCTGCGTTCTGGTGCGTCGATAAACCCAGATAGCTGACCTTGCCAGCAGCCTTGGCGGTTTCAAACGCGCGGTAGATCTCTTCGTTGCTGATCACGCTGACGTTGTTAGAAGCCATGTAGTAGTAGGCATCGACGTGGTCAACGCCCATCTCCCGCAGGCTACCGTCCAGGTATCCACTCCAGCCTTTGGCGGCGGCTTTCGCCTGGGCGACGGTGATGGTTTCGTCCCAGTCGATATCTGTCGGTACGTAGGCTTTGGAAATGAGGAAAATTTTGTCGCGATGGGTTTTCAGGAAAGGCGCCAGGTTCTTTTCCGCATCGTTGTAGTAGTCGCTGAAGCCAACATCAAAGGTATTGACGCCGGCATCAAACGCCGCGTTCAATAAGTCGTCATGGGGCTCGCGAGATAAGGTTGCGCCACAACCGAAGACCAGCCGGCTTGAATTGTGACCTGTGCGGCCGAGGGTACGGTATTTCATTTCCGGCCAGGGACCGTTCAGGCCGGCGGCTTCTTTGCCATCAAAGATTGAGGCTTTGACGTCACCAGATCGCAGTAAAGTTTGAGCGCCAACACCTAACATGGTGCCATATTGAACGAAGCGTCGACGAGTACTTGAAACAACGGAATCTGACATGGGTGCTCTCCCACAAGCAAGGGTTGTCAGATTCTACGCTGCCTCAACCTGAGCAGGCAAATGGTGATAGGGTATTAAAAGTCAGCAAGCGCTAACAGGAGGGGGCGTGCGGAAGAGACAGATTGTACGGAAGGTTGTCAGATTCGGCGCTGTGCTGAGCATGCTGGTTGCGCAGCCCGCGGTGGCCGAACTGGATCTTGCTCCACTGCCGGATGAATTATGGAGTGCGACCTACGCAGGACATCTGGCTAATCGGGCAGGTTTCGGCGCAGGGCTGACTGAGCGTGATGCCCTGGGTCGTTTAACACCAGGCCAGGCCGTGCAACGTTTTGTGCAGGGGCTGGACATTAATCCTCTGCAGCCGTTTGAAGCCTCCGACATTTTTGATCCGGGTCTCGACCCATTTCCACCCAGCCGTCCTGCAGCCACAACGCTGGCGAAAAGTCAGGGCCATGCATTAGGCGTGAAGGTGAAACCCTCGGGTAACCGCCCTTTGCAGCCGGTGGTTGACCGGTTCTTCTACTGGCTGCGTGCCAGTTATCTGGAAACTGATCGGGTCGCCTACTGGTGGGCCAATCGCATGCTGACCACGGCACATCCCCTGCAGGAAAAGGTGGCACTTTTCTGGCACGGACACTTTGCCACGAACGAAGATAAGGTAAGAGACTATCGGAAAATGCTGCAGCAGCTGCAGTTGCTGCAGGAGTATGGTCTTGGCGATTTCAGAACGCTGCTGATCGGCATAGCGCAAAACCCGGCAATGCTGGCGTTTCTTGATGCAGGCGTGAACACAAAAGACTCACCTAATGAGAACTTTGCTCGTGAAATTCTTGAACTGTTCACTATGGGGGTTGGTCACTACAGCGAGCGTGACGTGCAGGAAGCGGCACGGGCCTTTACAGGCTGGCACTTTGACGGTCTTGAATTTGTCGTGAACACCCAGCATCAGGATCTTGGCGCGAAACAGTTTTTGGGTCAGGAGGGCCCTTTTGACGGGATTGCGATTATCGATATTGTCCTTGATCAGGCACAAACAGCAAACTACATTGCGGCCAAGCTGTATCGTTACTTTGTGAATCAGGATCTGGCCGTTGAAAATAAGCCCCAGCTCGGGCAGCTGTTGGTGAGTGTGGATTACAATATTGCGGAGTATCTGGCGGTACTGTTTCGTTCCAACGATTTCTATCAACCTCAAAATGTCGGCTCGCGGATTAAGGGTCCGGTTGAACTTATGGTGTCGACTTATCGGCATCTGGGTTTACAGGCAGTGCCCGGCGTGCCGGATTTCAACCAGCAGAGTCAGGCGTTAGGGCAGCGGCTGCTGCATCCACCAACTGTCGCTGGCTGGTCCCATGGTCGGAGCTGGATCACGCCCAGCCTGCTGTTCGAGCGTGCAAATTTTATTCTGGACGTACTTTTTCCGGATCTCGGATTTGTTGCGCCGGACCGTTATCCCGTGTTTACGCCGGAGATCGTTAACGTACAGGCCCGCCTGCGCCAGGGCATGAGTGTCAGTGAGGCCACCAAACCAACAGGTGTTGCAGGCGGTGCGGACGAAATGGCAGCCTCCAACCTCCTGGCGGATCGTGATGAAGACTTTAATACCCGCCTGGGTAGTATGCGTGGCTGGCAGATGGCGTTGGAACGTGTAAAGCCGATTGAGCGGGCGCCGGCAAGAATTGATCTGACAAATATGGTGCTTGCTGCTGAATGCACAACACCGCTTCATGTGATCAACTATTTTGAGCGTCTGTTTTTTGCAGTGCCGTTGCCACCGGAGGTCAAAGTACAGCTCGCCAAACAGCTGCGCACGGGTTTGGGCACCACTGATCTGGTGCAGGCGCAGACATACATGGAAACGGCTTTACGCACTTTGTTACACGAGATGTTGAGTCTGCCGCAATATCAATTGGATTAATCGGGTCTAATCAATCGCAGCCGGCTAAGCGCTGGTGGATTGCAGGGGAGTAATTATGCAACGACGCCGTTTTTTACAGGCTGGCGCCACCCTGGCGGGCTTAAGCAGTCTGCCTAAACTGAGTGCATCGACAACGCTTGCGTCAGATGCACCTGTACTGGTTGTTGTGGAGCTCTCGGGTGGCAATGACGGGCTGAACAGTATTGTACCGTTTGCAGATGATGCTTATTACCGCCATCGCCCGAACCTGGGGATACAACAATCTGATCTGCTGGCCCTGGACGATCACTATGGCTTCAACCCAGGCATGCTTGGACTGCAGAGGTTGTGGCAGCAGGACCAGCTGGCCATTGTGCATGGTTGTGGTTATCCCCAGCCATCCTATTCTCATTTCACTTCCATGGCGTATTGGCACACGGGTGTACCCCATCGGGGCAGTGAGTTCGGTTGGCTCGGACGCGTCGCTGATCAAATGGTGGCGACCCGCCGTGATGACATGTTGGTAAACGTTGCCGCAACGGCCTCGCTGGCAGTCAAGAGTAAGGTGCATACACCGGTGGTGTTTGACGACCCCAATCGATTCTGGCGCAATGGCTGGCTCGATGGCGTGCCCTCTATTGCGGTGGATTCAAGCAGCACGGAAGAGGAAGTGAAAAGCCCAAACGCGGCTTATCTGCAAGCGGTTAACCGCAGTGCACAACAGTCTTCTGCGCGTATCAGACAAGCCTGGAACGACTACAACACCCCGGTTGATTATGGCATTGCGCCGATGGATTTACCCAAGGTGGCGGCGTGTATTCAGGCAGGATTAGATACACAGATCTATCATGTGGCATTTCGTAATAACGCCTTTGATACCCACGTGGCACAACCTGCACTGCACCGGCGTTTGCTGAGTTATGCCTGTGACGGAATTTATGGGTTTATAAGGGATCTCGAGCGGCTGCAGCAGGCGCATCGGGTGGTTGTACTGGTGCATTCAGAATTCGGTCGCCGGGTACCGGAAAATGCAAATCAGGGTACTGATCATGGGACGGCCAACACCATGTTCCTGGTGGGTGCGCCAGTGGCGGGTGGCCACTATGGGGAGCCTGTAGATCTGGTGAATCTGGTGGAGGGTGACAACCTGGCGCACACCACAGACTTTCGCCAGGTATACGCCACGGTGATGGAACGCTGGCTTGGTGTGCCGTCGAAAACTGTGTTGTTCGACGATTTTGAATTAATTGACGCATTGACGCCTCTTTAGAGTCGCTTATGCTGCTGGGAGGGGCTCGCGGGTGCTTTGCTAAACCGCTAGCATGTGGAACTTTTGTTGAGGGGAGATCACGTTGTCCGAAGTACAAGACCAGCCGCAGGCTGACAATCCAAGTGTGTTCAGTAAACAGGCCCGGCATTATGCCCTGGGTGTGTTGGTGGTGGTGTACACCTTCAACTTTATTGATCGCCAGATTCTGTCGATCCTGTTGGAACCCATCAAGGCTGATCTAGGCTTGTCGGATACCCAACTGGGTCTGCTCACCGGGTTTGCGTTTGCCCTGTTTTACGCCACCATGGGTATTCCCATCGCACGTTATGCGGATAAAAATAATCGCCGCAATCTGATTGCGCTGTCGCTGACCATCTGGAGTGGTTTCACAGCCGTTTCGGGTCTCGCGCAGAATTTCTGGCACCTGTTGATTGCGCGTATTGGCGTCGGCGTGGGTGAGGCGGGTTGTAGTCCACCGGCACATTCACTGATTTCCGACTACTTTCCGGCAGAGAAACGCGCTACTGCATTGGGGATATATTCTCTAGGTATTCCAGTAGGCATTCTGTTTGGCTTTATCGCCGGTGGCTGGCTGAACGAGTTTTTTGGCTGGCGCGTAGCGTTTTTTGTCGTTGGCGTTCCGGGGATCATATTGGCTCTGGTGGTGCGCTACTCCCTGCGTGAACCCACCCGCGGCATGGCAGAAGGTCGAGTTGATACCGGTCAGCAACCTACCACCAAAGAAACCTTCAAGTTGCTCTGGAGTAAGCGATCATTCCGCCATCTTGCATTTGGTGCCGCATTGACCGCCTTTGTTGGTTACGGTCTGGTCACCTGGGTGCCTTCGTTCCTTATCCGTTCTCACGGTATGACAACCGGCGAAGCGGGCACATGGTTAGGTCTTATTCTGGGTATACCCGGCGGTATTGGTATCGCCCTAGGTGGTTGGATGGCTGATCGCTACGGTTCAAAAGACACCCGCTGGTACTTGTGGGTGGTTTCTGTTGCTCTGTTACTCGGCACCCCTTTCGCGTTTGGTGTTTTCCTGTCTGACTCTGTCGTCTGGTGTCTGCTCTTTCTGATCATGCCGGTCCTGTTAGGTAACTTTTACCAGGCCACAACATTTTCTCAGACACAGGGCCTGGTAGAACTGCGAATGCGCGCAGTAGCCGCAGCAGTGCTTCTGTTCATTATTAACATTATCGGATTGGGCGCAGGCCCTCAGGCAGTGGGCATTGTCAGTGATCTGCTCAATGATCGTTTTGGTCAGGAGTCCCTGCGCTATAGCCTGTTGATTTTCTCTTTTGTGAATATCTGGGCAGCATTCCATTACTACAAAGCCGGCCAGTACCTTAAAGCTGATCTGGTGCAGGAATAACCGATGAGGACATGTGTCGCGGCGCTGTTCACTGTCTTGTTGGTTGCTGCTTGCGGTAACGCCAGTAACAGCGCTGCGGGGTCAGCGTCACCAGCGCCGGAGAAGCCTGAGGCACAACCTTCGCAACCCAATGTCATTGTGCTGTTTGCAGATGATATGGGATATGGCGATATTGGCAGTTTTGGCCATCCGTATAACCGGACGCCACACATTGATGAGCTGGCAGCACAGGGGCAGCGCTGGACAGATTTTTACGTCGCTGCGCCAGTCTGCTCACCCAGCCGTGGTGCTCTGTTAACAGGGCGCTTACCGGTCCGAACGGGTCTTTATGCTGAAATCATTGGGGTTTATTTTCCAAATGATCCAGGAGGTTTCCCCGCTTCTGAGGTAACGCTTGCTGAAGCCCTGCGGGCAGTAGGGTACCGCACCGGCATGTTTGGCAAGTGGCATCTGGGTGATGCAAAACACGCCTGGCCAACCCGTCACGGTTTCGACGAATGGTTAGGGCTGCCTTATTCGAATGATATGGATGTGGTAGGGGAAATCGGCATCGATCAGATCATTGCCTTGAGCATGCAGGGCAAGCAGCAGGAAGTGGCTGCGGCGCTGGCGGGACGCGCTGCAAAATATGCCGATCCTGAACCCGAATACTGGCGGCCACCTCTGTTCAGCAGTGTTGTCACCGCGGATGGGTTTAAAGATGAGGAACTGGAACGGCCAGTTGATCAATCCACCCTGACAAAAAGGTACACCTCTGCCGCCATCGACTTTATCAAGCGTGCGGGTGACGATCCTTTTTTTGTCTATCTGCCATACACCATGCCGCATACGCCACTGTTTCGCAGTGCAGATTTTGTTGGGAGAAGTATTGGCGGTCGTTACGGTGACGTGATCGAAGAAATCGACTGGAGTGTGGGTGCGCTCAAGCAGGCGCTGGAGGAGACCGGGAACGCTGAAAATACCCTGGTGATATTCACCAGTGACAACGGGCCCTGGCTAACGATGGAAATAGAGGGTGGTCGAGCAGGCCTGCTGCGCCACGGCAAAGGTACAACTTTCGAAGGGGGTATGCGCGTGCCCACAGTCATCTGGTGGCCCGGACGTGTACAGCCTGGTGTAGTCAGTGAAGTGGGTTCCGCGTTGGATGTCTTTAATACCGTGGCTGCATTGGCGGGAGCGGATGCATCAACGGCCGTGGATGGTGTAGATCTGGCGCCTGTCTTGTTCGACGGAAATGAAAGTCCGCGGGACGAAGTGGCTTTTTATCGGCGTGGAGTGTTACACGCCTATCGTAAAGGTCCCTGGAAAGCGCACTTTATCACCGAAGGGGCGTATCAACAGCCGCCAGCAAGAACGGTGCATGAAACACCTTTGTTGTACCACCTGCACACTGACCCTTCTGAGCGGTTCGATGTAGCTGCTGATAATCCGCAGGTGTTGGCTGAGATTGATGCGGCGGTGCAGCAACATCTTGCCAACATAGAACGGCGTCCGCCTGAGTTTGATAAACGTCTGCAACTCTGACGAATTGTGCGGCTGGCGTTTGCAGTTAGCTTACATTTGCAGGCCAGTTGATTGTGCTAACATCGGCGGTTGAATTTTCGTGAAAGGGAGAGACCATGAGCAGCGTCATGCAAGAACCAACGTCCGTAGTGCCTGATCCGTACAGTATTCCGCTGGAGGAACTGGATCCGGCGAAAATCGAGATTTTTCAGAATGACGCACTCTGGGGCTATTTTGAACGTCTGCGCAAAGAAGACCCGGTGCACTTTCTGCCAGACAGTGATTTTGGACCTTACTGGTCAATCACCAAGTTTGACGACATCATGTATGTCGATTCACATCACGAGCTGTTTTCCTCTGAAGGGGGTATTACCATTGGCCCCTTAAAGGAACTGGCTGAAGAAGCCAGCCAGTTTCAAACGCCCATGTTCATCGCGATGGACCCACCCAAACACGATGTGCAGCGCGCCACCGTAACCGGCGTGGTTGCGCCGCGTAATCTGGCAGCGCTGGAAGGTGTCATTCGTGAACGCGCGGGTAAAATTCTTGATTCATTACCCGTCGGTGAAACCTTTGACTGGGTAGATAAAGTGTCTATCGAGTTAACCACGCAGATGCTGGCTACGCTGTTCGACTTTCCTTTCGAAGAACGTCGCAAATTAACCCATTGGTCTGATGTGGCGACATCCGGGCCGGAAACCATGGGCATGGACGAGCGCCGTACGGAACTTCTGCAATGCCTGCAGTATTTCACCAACTTGTGGCAGGAACGCAAAGAAAACCCCAACCCGGGGTTTGATCTTATCTCGATGCTGGCCCACGGCGAAGAAACCAAAGACATGCAGCCTATGGAATTCCTGGGCAACCTGATCCTGTTGATTGTGGGTGGCAATGACACCACGAGAAATTCAATCACCGGCGGTGTGCTGGCGCTGAATCGCAACCCCGAGCAGTATGAAAAGCTGCGTAATAATCCGTCTCTGGTGCAGAGCATGGTGCCTGAAATTATCCGTTGGCAGACACCGTTGTCGCATATGCGCCGGATTGCCAAGGAAGATGTAGAGTTAGGCGGCAAAACCATTAAGAAAGGTGACAAGGTGGTGATGTGGTATGTGTCAGGCAATCGCGATGCAGAGGCCATTGAAAATCCGGATGATTTCATCATTGATCGTAAACGTCCGCGCCATCATCTGGCCTTCGGTTTCGGCATTCATCGTTGTATGGGTAATCGCCTGGCGGAAATGCAGTTGCGCGTGTTGTGGGAAGAAATTCTCAAACGCTTTGACCGGGTAGAGGTGATGGAAGAGCCACAGCGGACACCGTCAGTGTTTGTCAAAGGCTACACGTACATGCCGGTTAAACTGCACCCGCGCAAGGTTTAATGGCTAACTTTCCAACTTCCGAAATGGTGAGCCCGCAGTGGCTCACTGCCGTTTTGAACGACAATCAGATTAACGCAACGGTCACGGGCTTTAGCGCCAAGGCGGTAGGCACAGGTCAGATCGGCAAGTGTATTCGCTATGTGCTGACGTATGCAGATGGCGACAGCGGGCCGGCGTCCCTGATTGGCAAATTTCCATCTGATGATCCTGACAGTCGTGCGACCGGCGTGATGCTGCAGAATTTTCTGAAAGAAGTCAGTTTCTATAAACAGCTGCAGGACAAACTGTCGATTCGCACACCACATTGCTATTTTGCTGACATTGTTGGTGAGGGGCCTGATTTTGTCATCCTTATGGAAGACCTTGCACCAGCCGAGCAGGGTGATCAACTCCTTGGATGTGATGTGGAAGTGGCGCGGGCGGCGGTCCTGGAGCTTGTGGGTTTGCACGCGCCATCCTGGTGTGATGCACAGTTAAAACAGCAAACCTGGCTGTATAATGCTGACGCTGCCGGCACCGACATGATGCGCACCATGTACAACGCGCAACTTCCGGGTTTCCTTGAACGCTATGGGCCTGCATTGTCTGCGGATGAGCAGGCCATTATTGCCCGGGTAGGCGAAGCGCACAGCACGCCGCTGTATGACGGGTTGCAGGATGTGTTCTCGCTGGTGCATGTTGACTATCGTCTCGATAATCTGATGATCGACAAATCTGCTCAAGATCCGCAAGTGACCGTGGTGGACTGGCAAAGTATTACGCTGGGTGCGCCACTGAATGATGTGGCTTATTTTCTGGGTGCGGGTATGTTGCCCGCGCAACGTCTGCAGGAAGAAGAAGCGATTGTTCGTGCTTACCACGCCAGGCTGCTGCACGCCGGGGTGACAGATTTTGACTGGCCGACCTGCTGGAATGCTTATCGGCGCGGGACGTTTGCAGGCTTTGGGGTCACTGTAGTTGCTTCTATGCTTGTACAGCGCACAGATCGCGGCGACAAAATGTTTACCACCATGGCCCAGCGTCATGCACGCCACGCCATTGACCTGGGTGCGGGTGAGTTCCTAGTCTGACTCTGTCTCGAACACTTCAATACCTTCTTCACTGACAATGGCGTACAGCGCGCCAGCCAGGTCTTCGGTGGTCCTGGGATCGCTGTTGAAAGCCAGCAGTCTGGCCGGATCTCCGCTGGCAACGTTGGATGGAAGCACCAAATTACCGTTTTCGATGTCTGCAGGATCACCCGCCACTATCCACTTGCCGCGCATGTCCATGCCAATGGAATCGTTAGGCAATTCCACCATTCCTCGTGGCCCCCATGCCACCAGGGTGTTGTTGCTGATTACAACAACACTATCGGCGATGTTTTCGGCGAGCAGAAAGGTGCCACCGGACAGAATTGTGGTGTCTGATGTAGGCCCGGGTGGTGGCGCATCGGTATAGCCTGGAGGTAGCACCTCAGCAGTTTCGACAGGAAGTTCAGTTTCTGCAGTCTCTGTGGTTGGGTCCGAGCTACCACAGGCGGACAGCAGCATAACGCCAATCATTAACAGCAAATATCTCATGATGAATCCTCAACCTGGGTTTGTTTTTGTAGATCGCTGGCAACGTACCATAACTGGGTTCTTAATCGCAGGTACAGCAGTATGGCCAGCATGCCGATAACAGGTACCCAAACGGCATTACGCACACCCACCCATTCGGTCACGATACCCAGGGTGAAGCTGCCAATTGGCATGCCACCCATCAGACCCAATGAGTAGACAGACATGATGCGGGCGCGATGAGACTCGGTAGCCGCTTCCTGCACGATAGTGCGGGACATGGTCATGCCGATGCCGCCACAACAGCCCCACAGAAACACAACCGCGTAAAACAGCGGCTTGGGCAAATTAAACATGAGCAGGGATAAAACGCTGGCGCTGACGGCTGCGGCAATCAGTAAAACGCGTCCGGGTCTGGCGGTGCGACCTATGCGCATCAGGATAAAAGTCACCACGACGGTGCCCAGCATATTGGCGGCAAAGGTAGTGGCAATCTCTGCCGAACCGCCGTTATACAGATCGCGCACCATCAGCGGGAGCAGAACAACATAAGTGCCCGCAAAAAAGATGCCCA